CTCTCTCTCAAATAAATAAATAAAAAATCTTTAAAAAAAAAAAAAGATGCCACATATAAGTGAGATCATGCAGTATTTGTCTTCTTATGTCTGTCTGACTTATCTCACTAACATAATGCTCTCTAGACCCATCCATGTTGTTGCAAATGGCAGCATTTCTTTCTTTTTCATGGCTGAATAATATTCCATTGTCTATATGCACCACACCTTCTTTATCCATTCCTCAGTGGAAAGACTCTCCTGGCCTGTGAGGGAAAAATGCAAAATCCCTGGATAGCCTAATAGGGTTTCTTTGAAAGTTACAATGTACCCCCCCCCCCCCCGCCGGCTGCTTTTAGAATTCTTTCTTTATCTTTGATTTCTGATAATTTCATTATAATGTGTATTTTTGCATTGAGATAATAGGGTGATCTGTTAGCTCTGTGAACTTGGATGTCCAATTCTCTCCCCAGGTTTGGGAAGCTCTCAGCTGTTATTTCTTTAAATAATTTTCTGCCCCCTTCTCTCTCTCCTTCTGAAACTCCAGGTATTCCAGTATTTGTTCTTTTGATGGAATCCTATTGATCGCTTTGGCTTTCTTCACTCTTCATTCTCTTCTCTCTGTCCTCCCCAAACTGGGTGGTTTCAAAATCCCCATCCTCTAACCACTTATTCTGTCCTCCGAACACTTTACTCTACCGCAGATGCTCTATTGCATTTTTCATTTTACTCCTTGAGTTCTTCAGCCTCAGAATTTCTGTTGTTTTTTTTTTTTATGATTTCTTTCTCTTTGGTAAAAATCTCATTTTGATCATGTATTTTTTTTCAAGCTTTCATTGAATTGGCTGAGTCTTCTTGTAGCTCACAGAGTTTCTTCAGAGCAGCTACTTGGAATTTTTTATTAGCTAGATCACAGATTTAATGCCTTTAAACTCAATTTTGGGGGAGTTTTTAACTCTTTGTGATGGCACGTTTTCTTGGTTTGTCACGTTCCTTGTAGCTTTGCGTTGCTGCATTCACATCTGTGGTAGCGGACAGCTCCTTAAACCTGTGCGAGTTGCCTTGAGATGGGGTGTTGTGTGCTATGGTGGGGCTCTGTGGGTTTTCGCTCCCTCTACCTGGACGCGTCGGCTGTGCTCCCTTGCCCCCTCTTGTGGCGGGAGTCTTAAGCTTTTATGTCTTTGGTTCTTAGAACTCACCAGCTGGCTACTGGAAACCTTCCTTTGTTTTCCTGAAGGTGGCGCTGTGGCTCGCTTGTGGTTTCTCCCCGGCCCACAGACCTAGGCCTGTGGTCTCAGCGGCTCTCTGTCTGCTGAACTCTCTCCAGTGCTGCACTTCGGGGCAGGGGCAGGAGCTGTTGCACGGTGGGAGGAGGTGTGGGTCTAGTGCTCAGGCACTGGGGGTGCCTGGAGACACACTGGTGAGATCCCCGGGTGTGGTGCTCCCACAGGCTCCTGGTGGACTTTCTGCTGCACACCATCCTCCTAAGGACCCCTTGAAATTCTCATTGGCCTCTCTCCCAGTCTCCTTGCTTCCCGCAGTCACGGACATCCAGCCTCATTACCGTGGGTCCTGCCGAGAGCAGTGGGGTCTGCAGCCGCATCCCACACCACTGGGGTAGCCGCACTCCCACACCGCTGTCCTCCCCCCAGTCTGACAGATCAGTCCTCTGCAGTGTTTCCTTGTGGAGCACGGCCCTGGGAAAGTTTCTCTTAAGGCCAGCTCTGCTGCGATTGGCCAGTCTGCTCAGATTGTTTTTTGTGTGTGTGCTTTGTCGGCCCCAGTGGCGTGCTGGAAGCCCCCCTTGGGAAGACTGGACTTGTGCACGTTCTGTCGCTTGTGTGCATATCCCCGCAGGTCAGCACTCTGCAGGTCTCTCCCCGGCCGCAGCGAGAGGGGTCCGGGCAGGTTTGCTGGTGGTTTGGTGGGTGCGCTGGTCCCGCAGCCCACGCTGAGTCCTGTCTGCCTGTTGCCGGATGTGCGAGGGGGTGAGGCTCCCCCGGGCCCCTTGGTGTATGTGCTAGGTCCCAGCAGCCAGCATGAGGCTCTGGTCTGTGGATGGATGTCTGATTCGTTGTGGAAAAGGGGGATAAAAAGGAGGAACATCTTAGCCACCATGATGCTGACATAGTCTCCTTCTGCTTCTCATAAACATTCATTTATTTCTTTGAAGGCCTGTAGTAGGGAGCTTTAGCAAGACTTGAGTAGTTGTAGTTACCACATAGTGAAACAGTATTGCATTTCTTCTTAAATACTCATACTGTAAAGCTTTTTAATAAACCAGATGCTTTTCTTACAGCTCTACTTCTCCTCTCCCTCCTTCTCTGTCCACCCAGCCCTTAGACTAAATATGAGGTGTTTGCATATATTCGTCAGCACAAACGTGTCTAGTTTATCTCTTGTGCTTGCGAAGGCACCATACCTTGGAAGAGTTAGGTAGGAATTTGCTTATGAGTGCCCGAAGCCTGTTTCTCTGTTCCTTCTGCAAAGGGAGGGGTACAGTTCACACTTGGAACAGTAGTCACTCTATCATGTGATTCTAAAAGATAGCCTTTATTGATCAATCAGTGAAGGCAGAAGTATTTCATAATACCTTGCTTTCACAGACTTAGGATGTCTCAAAGCCTACATTTCAATACCTGTGTTTTATTCTTGGGCACTTAAATGGGGGAAAAAAATATCGTCTAGGTTGAGTTTTGTGGTTCTGTTCGGTCATGAGAAATAGATGGTAGTGTTTAAAATGGTTGGCATCAGACATTGAAGCTTACTTTTCCCTCAACCCTGGGCTTTCCCCAGGACCCTGCAAGTTCCCGAGGCCCCAGATAGATGGACAGGATTCCTTCTCTGTGATGCCTTCAAGCCTCACATCCCACTTTCTTGCCTCCCTTCCACAGTATGTGAGGACAGCTCATGTAAATGAATATGACAGTGGCTGGGGCTGGGGAGGTTGTGTGTGAGTGCATGTCTGGCTTATGTTTCAGTCTGTCCTTCAGTGTCAACAAGGTGGACACAGGTTACCTAGCTAAGGGCCGAAGACAGCATTATTTCATCTCTCGGTACCCAGCTTGGGAAATAAAGACCGAAAGTAGGCTGGGGCTTTGAGAGGGATGTATTGAAGATTAGATCAAAAACTTTTATCGGGTACTTGCTATGTCCCAGATACTAAGTATCTTACATGAGCAGACTTACTTAACCCTCATCAAAGTATCGTTATGAAGTAGGTGCCATTATGACGCTCATTTTACAAATGAGGAAACTGAGGCACGGAGAAGCCAAGTGACTTTCCCAAGGTCACATAGCCAGTAAGTGACAGGAAGGAAGTCCGATGGTGTCCAGCAGAAATACCTCATCCCCAGACCTGAGATACCTTCCTTCCTGGGGATTTTATTGACTCAGGGAAGGAGACTGGAGTTCTCCTTGTGAAGCTGTTGCGGCCCCAATATACAGGGGGATATAAAAAATGATAGCATTCAACATTCTTTCTTGAAGATTTCCAAGAAGTCTTCCAGCCTTGGCTAGAATGCCTCAAAGGATTGAGGAATTTAGTCTCTCTAGAGGCGACCCTACTTCTGGACAGCTCAAAGTGATGGAAAAGTCCAGCTGGCCTCCCCTAACTTCCATCAATCTTCTGCAGACCTCTTTGGAGCTACATTTCTCCCTCCTGCTTGAGTGGATCGGGGAGCCTGTGTGATTGCCTTCCTGCGGGCTGAGAAATCGGGGAAAGGCCATCCTGCTCATTTCTGCTGCCACTAACTTTGTGGTGTGTGAAACCAGAGTCCTCTTCAGAGGTTGGGGCAGTCGGTCTTCTAGCAGGAATCGTCCATTAACTGACATGTCTGTGACCTTCTCACAAGTCCACTAGATATCTCCTCCCCTGGCAGACGTAGAGATCTGAGGCACGTCTTTACCACTCTGCATGAACACATTTACTCGGAGAGCCAAATATGGTGCCGGGAAGAACGCAGTGTTCAAGCTGTGGCCCCTGCCTCAGTGTTTCTGACAAGATCTCAGGGGCAGGATTTAACCCCCTGAGGCAGTTGTGTCCCACTGTTCTCTTAAATGCCAGAGACGCTCAGGGGATGATCGGTGAAGATCATTTTTGCCTTTTTCCCAAATGTTTCTATTATGTTGTCTCTGGGTGGATATGTGGGGTTGTCTTCTGCGTCCCCGTACATCTCCCAAGAACAACATGAGGAAACTCCGTATACGTCTCGGCGCTGTTGAGAATGGGCAGGATGGCCTTCATCAAAAGCCCACGCGTGTGCTCTCCTGCTGGGGTCTCCCATTTGCCTGGTGGAAGGAGACCCAGAGGGAGAGCTTTTCTTCCTGGTACTGTTTCTTAACAGCGTTGGATGGTGTCCTTTCCCCGAAATCGTAACTGGGGAACGAGGTGTATTCATGGCGACCTGACATGGTTCTGCTTGTTGTTCATTGCCCTGACTTAACTTCTCTGTCCCTCTCCCCGCAGAGCAGCGGCAGACATGATGAGCACCAAGGCCTTCACCTTGGTCTCTGCTGTGGGCTGGGAGCTGCTAGCAGGCGACAAGGAGCGTGTGCACGTAGAATGCGTGGAGTGCTGCGGGAAGAACCTCTATGTGGGCACCAGGGACTGCGTCGTTCACCACTTCCTGTTGGAGGAGCGGGCGCTGCCCACCGGGACGGCCACCTTCTCTGCCGCCAAGCAGCTGCACCGACACCTGGGCTTCCGGAAGCCAGTGAATGAGCTGCGAGCGGCCTCGGCCCTCAACAGGCTGCTGGTGCTCTGTGACAACTCCATCACCCTGGTCAACATGATGAGCCTGGAGCCCGTCCCCTCGGGGGCGCGCATCAAAGGGGCCGCGGCACTGGCCTTGAACGAGAACCCTGTGAACGGAGACCCATTCTGCGTGGAAGTCTGCATCATCTCGGTCAAGCGCAGGACCATCCAGCTGTTCCTGGTATACGAGGACCGGGTTCAGATCGTCAGGGAGGTGTCAACACCGGAGCAGCCCCTGGCCGTGGCCGTGGACGGCGACTTCCTGTGCTTGGCTCTGACCACACAGTACATCATCCTGAACTACAACACGGGCTTCTCCCAGGACCTGTTTCCTTACTGCAGTGAGGAGAAGCGCCCCATTGTAAAGAGGATCGGGAGACAGGAGTTCCTCCTGGCAGGTCCCGGAGGACTGGGTGAGCCTCCACCAACCTCCGCCTCCCATCTGTCCATTCCCTTTGCCTTCCCTCCGTGAATCCATGCCCAGATCCGGGAGGGAGAATTTAGCTGTGAAGATAGATACTCGTGAAGAGTATTCGCCAACACCGAGGATGTGTGGCAAGATGTAAACAGAATGCAGAACCAGTGTGTGCTAACGTTCCCTTAGATTGTCCAGTGAATGTAGGATCAGTGGAACAAAAATAGGCCAGTCATAAAGGAAAGCCAGCTTTATTCCGTGCTAAAGAGGAGCCTCGAGATGGCTCTGCGGAGAAAATTCCTTTAAGTAAATAATCAAAATAAAAATCCGTAAGACTTCCTTGTAAGATGTTCTCACGTGTGGGTGGATTTGTCAGTTGGTTGTTTTTACTCTTCGTTATGAAAAGGAGTGGAGCTCACTTAGGCATATTTTCAAGTGTGGAGACTTCAGTGTTCCGTCCATTATTTATTTAATTGACTGCAGTTTCATCCCACCACACTGTCTTGTCTCTAGCCCCCTGAAAGGGCTTTGGCTCTGTCCTACGGCCTTGTGAATTCCCTGTGGTGCCTTCTTGAAATTAACACTCCAAGCTGTTCATGGCGTGGGTGACTTGTACTTTCTTTCAGTCGTGGATGGCTCACTTTAGGGTTCGTGTGTGTCTGTGACACACAGCGGGTGCTGGGGAGGGTGAGCCTACCTCACCACCGGTATTTGTTAACCATAGTCTGTGTGTAGGCATCTCATCTCAGAGTGAGGGGTACAAACATATTTTCCGCTAATAACAAAAGTTGAGGTCATGAACTCTAGTTGGTGAACACTTACTGATTTTTACTTTTTAAAATCATTTTTGTTATTCAGAGCAATTTTGGGCTCACAGCACAATTGAACAGGAAGTACAGAGTTCCCATATACCCACTACCCCCAAAAACGCACATCCTCCTGCACTATCCACATCCCCCTGACAGAGTGGTACGTTTATGATAATGGATGTATCTACAGGGATACGTTGTAATCTCCCAAAGTCTGTAGTTTACATCAGGGTTCACTCTTGGGAGTTGTACATTCTTTGGGTTTGGACAAATGTATAATGACATGGATCCATCATTATGGTACCATAGAGAGTGTGTTCACTGCCTTCAAAATTCTCAGTCCCCTACACCCCCAACCTCTGGCAACGGCTGATGTTTCCGGAGTGTCATGTAGTTGAAATCATACAGTATGTTAGCTTTTCACATTGGTGTCTTTCACTTAGTAATATGCCTTTAAGGTTCACCCGTGTCTCTTCATGGCTCGATAGCTCTGATTTTTACTTTCTGGACAAAAATTCTTTACCCCAACCACCTTTTTCTTTAACAGAAATTCCCGGGTTTTTTTTTATTTTTTTATTTTTTTTTATTTTTAAAGATTTTATTTATTTATTTGAGGGCAGAGAGAGACACAGCGAGAGAGGGAACACAAGCAGGGGGAGTGGGAGAGGGAGAAGCAGGCTTCCTCCGGAGAAGGGAGCCCGATGTAGGACTCGATCCCAGGACCCTGGGATCATGACCTGAGCCGAAGGCAGACGCTCAACAACTGAGCCACCCAGGCGCCCCTCTTCTGTGTTTTCTTATAGAAGCCTATAGTTTTAGCTTTTACTTGTAAAATAATTTGAGACACCTCAAATTAATTTCTGTATATGGTGTGAGGTAGGAATATTTAAGGTAAATTTTTTTCCCCGCATAAGGTTATCCAGTTGTTCCAGCACCGTTTATGAGAATGACTTTTGGTATTTGATTCTGGTGCCTCTGTCAATTGCCAACTGAATGTGTATGTGTGGGTCTAATTCTGGACTTGGTCTTCTGTTCCATTGATCTGTTTGCCTTTTCTGATATCTTAATTACTGCAATTTTATAGCAGTTTCTGAAATCAGTTAATGTAGGTCTTCCAAGTTTGTGCTTCATTTTCAAGATTGTTTTGACAATATAGGTACTTTAACTGCCATTTCAATTTTAAAACCAGCTTGTCAATTTTTGCAGGAAAGTCTGCTGGGGTTATAATTTAGTTGGGCAGTAAGATTTTATGTATTTCAACATAAAGATCTTTTATATCTTTGTTATTAGATAATTCCCTCATATTTAATTTTTTAATACTATTGTAAATATCTTTTTTGAAAATTAAAATGTCTATGGTTGGAAATGCAGATTACTTTGATAGGTTGATTTTTTAAATTAAACAGTATTTCTAAAATTTTAGTAATTCTAATAGATTGAGTTTCCATGTAAACAATAATAGCATCTGTAAATAATTACAGTTTTATGTCTTTGTTTTCAGGTTTTTATAAATGTTCCTTAACTGGCAGAAACTCCCAGCACAGTGTTGAAGAGAGATGGTACATGAGTGTGCTAGGGCTGCCATCAAAGTACCATAAACTGGGTGGCTTAAACAACATAAATTTAAAAAAATAAATAGATGAACAACATAAGTTCATTGCCTCACAGTTCTGGAGGGTAGAAGTCTGAGGTCAGAGTGTCGGCAGAGTTAGCTCCTTCTGAGGGCTCGGAGGGATGCTTTGTTCTGTAGCCCTCTCGGTCAGCCTTCCGGGAGCCTCAGGCGTGCCTTGGCTTGTCGATGGCCATCTCCCTGTGTTTTCATGTCTTTCTACTATGTGTGTCTGTCTTGTATCCAAATTTCCCCTGTTTTATAGTGACATCTGTCATACTGGATTAGGGCTCACCCTAGTGACCTCATCTTAACTTATCATCTTCAGTGACCCTGTTCCCTATAAGGTCCTATTCACAAGTAGGGAGAATTAGGACCTTAATGTATTTGGGGGGATATAATCTACCCATAACAGATGGTAATAGTCTTGTTCCTTGTTTTGTGCTTTTTCTCTTTTATTTTGTAAATGTGGTGAGTTAAACCAACAGATTTTATTACCCTAAGCCAATATCACATGCCAACTTACTCATACTGTGTGTGTTCAGTGTGCTAATATTTAATACTTTTGCATGTTGATTTGTAAGTAAGAATGATTAGGATTTTCTTTTTTCCTACATCCTTATCGGGTTTGGATAGTAAAATTGTACTTTATACTGGCTTTATAAAATGAAGTGGGACATGTGCCCGCCTCCTTTTTTTTTTTTTTTTTTATTCTCTGGAAGATTTATTATTTAAAGTTGGTATTATCTGATTCCTAAATGTTTGGTAGAACTCGCTAGGAGAGCCGTGTGGACGTGGTGCTTGCTTTCTGGGACAGACAGTGCCCACAAAAACAGAATATAGCTGGTACTCTTGCATTGCTTATAAACTCATCCGAATCAGCTTTCCTGGGCCTCTAGAAGCCTCTATAACTATTGTAACTGATCTTAAGAACACAGAAAAACATTTTTGAACCTTATGGTTAACCTCAGAATCACTGCTGCCCAGCTCGGTGTGTAGCAGAAAGAATGGAACTGTCGTTTTTTGATCCAAGGTTTAAGAAACGTAAAGATTATCTGAAGGAAGATGCCAAAGCAGCAAGAACTTTTCACAGTGGCTACAGCCGTGAACCAAAGATAATGTTTCTGTGCACGCCTGCAAAAGAAAATTCATATTTTTCCATTAGCATTTTCAAAGACAATCACTTAGATTCTAATGTCACCAGTGGGGGTGTGTAGGCTCTCAAGGTGCTGGAAAGTCATTACTAATGTTTTAACTTTGGTCCTTAGTACATACTGCTTTACACTGTCACTTGCTTATTTTTCTAGTCCTTTTTCCTTAATGAGATTGGGATACTCTTGGAAATGGAACAGTGCCTTTTTTTTTTTTTTTTTGCACCCTTAGAAGTGCTTGTTGCATATGTAATGTTATCCTTATTTAAACTGTTGTCTGTGAGTGTACTAATATTTTTCAGTTTCTTTCCCTCACTAGGTCTGTATTTTGCAGTTTTGAGAAAAATATTAAAATGTTGCCTTTTCAAATGATAACCATGCTTTTAAGGTAACGTTCTATCAAAATGTGTAAATTTCAGATCCGTTTGAGATCACATAATAGAGTATGAATTGTACATCTTGGAGAAATTTTCATTTTTTTTTTTTTTAAAGATTTTATTTATTTTTTTGACAGAGAGAG